AACCACCCCCTCCTTAGATCTGATCATATTTTATTCTGCACAACATTTAAAAATTCGATTTTTTTTTTTTTAAGTCGAAACCAACCAGAATAAGGGGAAATCTGTTGGGAATCAGGAAAAGTGCTTGGTTCTCACCCTGTGCTGGCCCCTGAGCTGCCACATGACCTTGAGTGGACCAGGCCCCTCCTCTGGGCCTGACCCTTCCCCATCGTGTTTCTTCAACTCACCTGTCACAGTCACCTGGGCTCTGCCCGTCACTTCCCCAGAGAGGAGGACTCAGCGAGGTGGGGGGGGCCCAATTCATCTCTACCAGGCGCCCTCTCGCCCTCCCCAGGGAGCGCCTTGGCTGTGGACACCGTGGTCCCTTCTCTCACCTCTCCAGCTTCCCTGTCTGTCTGTAGCTCCTGCCCACGGCCCCCTGCCCATGGCCCCTGCCCACGGCCCCTTGCCCACAGCTCCTGCCCATGGCCCCCTGCCCACGGCCCCCTGCCCACGGCTCCTGCCCACGGCCCCCTGCCCACAGCTCCTGCCCACGGCCCCCTGCCCACGGCCCCTGCCCACGGCCCCCTGCCCACGGCCCCCTGCCCACGGTCCCCTGCCCACGGCCCCCTGCCCACGGCCCCCTGCCCACGGCTCCCTGCCCACGGCCCCCTGCCCACGGCCCCCTGCCCACGGCCCCCTGCCCACAGCTCCTGCCCACGGCCCCCTGCCCACGGCCCCCTGCCCACGGCCCCCTGCCCACGGCTCCCTGCCCACGGCCCCCTGCCCACAGCTCCTGCCCACGGCCCCCTGCCCACGGCCCCCTGCCCACGGCCCCCTGCCCACAGCTCCTGCCCACGGCCTCCTGCCCACGGCCTCCTGCTCCGGGCGGGGGCAGAGTGGTGAGCAGGGAGGAGAGCCATAGGGAACCCACCCCAGGTGACCATTTCGCAGAAGCTGGGCTCCCCACCTTACCAGCAGGACGGGGCAGCTGGACGAGAGTAAGAAGCTTGGAAGGGAGGGCGCTCAGAAGCCATCTCGGGAAACACGAAACAGAGCCTCTGGGTCCTTGATCTTTCCCACAGTCTCACTCTCCAGCTCTCGGGATGATCACAGTCGTAGGACTGACGTCGACAGACTCAGGGAACCGTGGAGCGAGGAGTGGGCCCCAGGGACCTCGGTAGACGTCCTTCGTGCTGTGCTGACTGGGGCCAGGAGAGGGGACCCCGGTGCCTTTGGAAGCGATGGAGCCACTCTCTGGAGAGCTTGGCGCTGACTTCTTCAGCAGGGGTCTTACAGCCTGCGCTGATGCCTGTTCTAGAATCTTCTCTGTCTTCAAGGACCTCCTATCTCCCAAGCTTAAAATCACATCTCCTGAGAGGCCGTCCATGGGTATCTCAAGTCCCCTCCTTCCCGTAAACCCTGAACTATTCCGTCTGCTAAGAACCCCCCTCCTGGTCTGCCGGTCATCGTATGATGTTTTTACACCTTTGTCCTTTCCCCTGCCCCTGAGTAGTGGTCGCCATGACTTGTGATTGTGTGTCTGTGTGCTCTTTTACTTATTTATCCTGGCTCCTTCACCAGGCTGCCCCCTGCTATGGAACAAGGACCATGTCGTCCATCACGGTGCCCCAGCGTTAACCTGGAGCCGGGCTGGAGGCTCTCGATGGCTGAACGGAGGAATGAGTGCAGTGGTGGCAGGTGGGTCACCTGGTGATTTTGTTAAAATGCAGATTCTGGTTCAGTGAGCCTGGGCAGGGCCTGGGAATCTGCATTTTCACGAGTTTCCAGAGATGCCGAGGCTGTTGGGCCGTGGGCCACACTTTGAGTAGCAATGACCCAGAGGAAGTCTGTCCTGCCGATCCTCCGCCCCAACACCCAGGGTCTCCTTTCCCATTGCTCAGTGCCTGGGGAGAGGCTTCAAGCTCTTCAGAAGTGAGGGAGGGGTCACAGAAACCCAAAAAGGGTTGACGAAGGAGGAGGGGAAACTGCAAGGAGCATTGACCCAGGCGGGCTCCAGAACAGAGCTGCACAGCCCCAGCCCCCAGGGTGGCAGGCCCCGAGGACCCGTCTGTCAGACCTGGGACTCAGCACAGCTGGGCCGAGCTGTCTGCCCAGGGTCTCTCCCGGGAGGCGGAGGGGCTGTCGCAGGGCTGCAGATGCCATCCCTTACCTCCCTCTCCAAGCCCCGTGCTCCACGCACACCCAGTTGGCACACTTGGCCTGGCTGCTCTGGTAGGTGAGCTTCGTACTGTCTCAGTGACAGCTCCGTCCCCTCTGCACCCAAGGACTTACCAAGGTCCTCTCTGGCACCTGATAGATGCAACCAGAGGTCTAGGGAGCTTTACCAGCTAATGATACCCCCCGGGGTCCCTTGTGAGCCTTGGGTGGTCCTCTATTGGCCAAGGGACCCTACCAGGTGCCAGGTCACCGTTCCGCCTGGGGTCAGCACGTTCCACCTTGATGTGTTCCCAGTCACACTTTCCTAGAGGACTAAAGCAGAGTTTCTCAACATGTGTCTGTCCCCCCACTTCACAACCACTTTGCCAGGGACCAGAGCTTTCTAGATACGCAGACTTCTGGGCTGCACCCCAGACCTACTCTAGGAGCGCCTTCGGGAGTGGACTCCAGGTGACGGCGGGTTCATTTACGGGTGCAGAAGCGCCTACATTTGCTTCCTCCTCCGTCTCCGTAGTTTTCATCTCCTTTTGGGTGAGCTCCGTTATGTCTCCTTTGATCACAGCGGCAGGAGCCTCCCTCTGGAAGCCAGAGAGGCCGAGGACGTTCACGCGGCTCCGCACAGGACCAGGTGTTCCGGGAACCTCCTGTCCCCCGGATGCTCTTCTGACCGACTGTCCATTATCAAAATGCAGCCCACAGTCGCCCAGAAAACCATCTTTATGGCCTGAATGGAGGCCCGGGTCTCCAGGGTCCAGTCCCCCCTCAGCTTCTGCTTCTAAGGAACATCCGCATCAGCAGACCTGCCCGGGGCCACACCAGCCCTCCACATCTGGCCCCGACAGGTGCCCACTTCATCTGCCCCCGGGCTCTGCAGACTCCTGTAAGTAGGTCTTTTCTCTGGACGTCCCCCACCCCAGGGCCTCCGAATCCCTTTGGTCCTCCTTCTAGCATCCTCCTAAAATGCGAGTGCCATCTTGGACTCCAGCCCCTACCCTCCCCGACTCCTTGTTTCTCTGGCTCAGCCCACTGTGCCCGCCCCAGATCCCCCCACGCAGCCATCGGACCTTGACGATTGGCAAAGGGAGCCTTCCGTGATACCCATCACTCCCGGAACGAGGTCCCCCTTTTCTTCACTTGACCATGGTCCGAGTCTCATCCCGGCTCGGCCCGTCTAGCCGCCGGGCGTCCTCAGACCTCCTACCCCCTGCTCCCACCCACGGCCGTCACCCGGGCCCCTCTTCCGGTCCCTCTTCTCCCCCCTTTGCCAGGCCGACTCCTACTTTCCCGCCAGGCGTCAGGCCCAAGCTCTAGCACCGCCTCCTCAGGGAAGCCCTCCCTGATGTCCTGGGGGAGCCAGTGCCCCCACTGCAGGCCCCCAGACCGCGAGGTGCCCCTTCCTTCCTGGCACGAGGTCACCCAGTGCATTCATGTTTAGTGGAGGGATGATTCAGTGCATTCTATTAGGGGCTGCCCGTCCCGGCGCCCTGGGACGGTTCTGTGTGCTGCTGTCCCACTGCGCCATTCACAGCACCCTCACCGGAGGGCGCTGCCTTAGTGAGCAGGGACAGGCCGGCCCAATGGCCGCCACCCACCAGCCCTAAACCCGCGAGGCAGGAGCTGGCTCGTCTCTGCTCGGTGCCAGTCAGTGCTCAGGAGCAGGCCCTCGGGGACCTCAGCTGAGCCGCGGGGTCCTTCATGACCTGGCTTGGAAGCCACACGTCACCTCCTCCTTACTCCGGGGGTTGACCGGACGCCGACTGACGCCTGTGAACCTCTCCACGGACCGAGTGCCAAAGACATGTTGAGCACCTCCCACATCTCCCAGGGCCTCCGTTCAATCAGCCAATCAACCAATCACCCACTATTTATTGATTCCAATATCCCTGCGCCCAGTTGCTAGTTTGGGCATGGCACCCGGGGTCCCAGCCAAGGGTCAGGGGTGACGTCCGCCCACGGACTGCTCCCTAAGCCATGAGCCTGGCTTGGGGTTGTGGCCTTCTCTATTTGCACAGGCCACGTGTCCCGAGGGAGCCATCTCTAACCCTGGCTTTGAGGGAGAACCTTTCCCTATTTCATAAAGCACTGTGGAGACGAGGGGAACCCTGATAAATCACCTACTGTGCGTCAGACGCTGCTAGACCCAGCCTCTGCTGCCAGGAAGCTGGGTTCTGTTAGGGAAGACAGGCACGGAGTGAGAGGTGTATACACGAAGAGCCTAACAGATACACTGCAGAGTGGCAACAGGGTCACCGTGGTCTCATGTGCCTTGTCACCCCGGAGCTGGTGTGTTGGAAGCTTGGTCCCCAGTGTGGCCATGTTAGATGATGGTGGAACCTTTGGGGGGAGCCTAATGGAAGGCCATAGGGGTGCTGCCTGGGAAGGGATAGGTCAGTGCTCATGGGACCCCAGTTAGTTTCTATGAGAAGGTTGTTATAAAAGAACTGAGCCAGGCTCCTTCCCACACTCTGGCTTCATGGGGCCTTTGCCAGAGCTGAGCTGATACTGGCACCATGCCCTGCCCTGGGAGCTTAAAGAAAAAACCTTGTTTCTCCCTCCCTTCCTGCCTTTCTTCCTTTCTGGTTTTGAGACCTCTTTTCTTCATAAGTTACCTGGCCTCAAGTATTTCATGACAGTAACAACAACAACAACAAAAGACTAATGCAAGTGTTAAGGAAGAAAAGTCCCTTGACTGAATTCCTATTCTGTGTGGGCTGCTGGGGGCAGAAGCCAGAATCTGGAGGCCAAGCCTGTCTCTTCTGGGACACCAATCTGTCAGGGAAAAACGAACAGGGAGGAATGGGCAAGAGCAAACCAACATGGCTGTGTGCAGAAGGATTTTAATGTCACCTGGGGATGGAATTCCAGACTGTCAAAGGGAGTCTAGTTTGCTCAGAGTGGCTTAAATACCTCTGCCTGGAAGCATAGGAATGGTCAAGAATTTCTAGGTCTCAGCCTGCTCCGGTGGCTCACGCCTATAATCCCGTGGCTGGGAAGGGCTGAGGCAGGAGGATCACAAGTTGAAACCAGCCTCAGCAACTCAGCAACTCGGTGAGAACCTGTCTCTAAATAAAGTAAAAACAAAAAAGGCTGGGGATGTGGCATGCTCAGCGGTTAAGTGCCCCTGAGTTCACTCCCCACCAGAAATAAATAAATAAATGCAAAAGAAATTCTCGGTCCTCTCTGTTAATCTTGGAATCTTGAACTGTGGGGTCATGGGTGGGCTCCCATGGGAAAGGGCAGTGTCCTTACCTCCTCAGACCCAAAGGTTTGTACAGACTCGCGAGTCAGGCTGAGTTCTGAGGCTGGATTCGCCCAGTTGGCCCAGAGGTCGCTTGTTTGAGGGGCTATTTCCGTGGCCTTTTAGCCTGAGAGACAACTCACCCACACAGATACCCAGGAATCTCGGAAAGAAAAACACAACACCTACCTGTGTCAAGCAGGATAACAAGTAGAACAGGGTTCGTTAGTAAGTTCCATGAGATTAAGAGGTTGGGACAAGTTGGTTCCCTGCCTCAGAGCCGCAGCGGATGGCTCACAGGAGACCCACACTCAGTGTACCTTAAGTGAGGGATCGGAAAAATATCATTTTCCTGAGCAATTGTTTGGCACAAAGGAAGGAAGGGGAGGATTTTGTTATGAAAAATCAAAAATATGTAGAGAAGTACAAAGGACGGCCTCATAGGCTGCAGGTAGAGTATTTATGATAGAGCCCAGATCCCGGGCACCGGGGACCCACCCTGGGGACATTACCAACCACAGGGACGCTCGCCCCCACCCCTCCTATTGGGCGTTTCTCAGTGCTGCGTTGCTCTAAAAGCGGCCTCCGCCCTCCTGGCCGTGCTGGGGGACACCTGAGGCCCTCCTCCTGTAAGCCACCCGCGGTCCCCATGTTTGGGTGGTGGTGAGGCTGGAGGAGGAGGGCAGACCCCCCACTTCCTGTTTGCCTTCTGACCGTCTTTCAGGAACATTCCAACGGGGAGCGCCTGGGGCTCGGCTCTGCGGTGCCCTCGGTCCCGATGAGACCGGGAACCAGCGGTGAGAGGCCAGAAGTTCAGGGTCCCCAAGGCCACACGCTCCCAGGCCACACGCTCCCTGGACCTGCCCTGTGTCTCTCCTATTCAGGTGCCGTGACTCTGTTACACAGATGGCCTTAGAGGACAAGGAGGAGCCCGACAGAATCCGGGCGGTCTCTCCAGGGGCCTGGGAATTCAGTTCGACTTCTGTCCTGAGTCAAGGGAACGATGTTTATGCGGTTATCATCCTTCCTCTTCCTCCTCCTTCTTCTCCCTCTTCTCTTGGCTGAATTTTTAGACTTTATGGAAAAAGCGACAACTGATAGCTGAAACCAAGCCTCCAAATCTGTCCCACCCCAGGGCCACTGGGCCACCTTCCCCTCCCCCACCCGAGGGCCTCTGTCGGGCACTCTTCTCCAGGCCCTCGCGCTCTGGGGTGCTGGGTTCTCAGGGCGCTCTGGGGTGCTGGGTTCTCGGGGTGCATGTGGGGGCAGGGGAGCCGCCCCAGGAAGCGCTTCTGGACACAGAAAGTGAGAAAAGCGGGATCCTTGGCGGAGGCCCGGGCAGCCGCAGGTGGGGACCGGCTGTGTGGGGGCCTTCTCCTGTCTGCAGAGGTTTCCTGGCCGCGGTTGTGGGTGGCCATTCTATCAGTGATGAGAGGAGGCAGAAGAGTCGGACCCTAAACTACGGCTCCGTCCTGACTCAGGGAAGGAAGCCAGGGACCAGGTGTGAGCCGGGGTCGCCAGGGTTTCTCGTGTGGCTGGAAACCATGGTCTCCGTCCCGCCCCAACCCGCTCTGTGGAGGAAGTGGCCCCAGGAGAGCCCCTTCCTCAGGCCCTGCTCTGGGGGCGCAGATTTCCCTTTCCCACGCAACAGAGACTCAGGGGCTGCCCGAGGGTCTCTCCTGGGGCCGTGGGCAGCCAGCTGAGCCGCGCTTCGCGGCTGGCTGGGGCGGCTGGAAGGGAGTTTGGCCCAGTGCTGGGCTTCCTGCAGCTTCCACACCTGGGTCTCCCAGGAGCCTCATCGGGGGTCGTGCTGCATGTGTCTCTGGAAGAGGGGCCAAGAGCCAGGGGCTGGGAGGCCTTTGGGAGTTCCTTACCCTACCCCCAGGAGCGCCAGGTTGTGGGCCCACCCCAGACGGTGCTGGATCCTGGGAGGTGGACCCTGGGCCAGGATTACAGGGCTAGGGGAGAGCCTCGTTCTTGGTCTCATGGCTGGCTTTGCCCCTGAAACGTGAGCGTGCAGAAGCTTTGACTAACGGGTGCCTGGTCACCATCAGCCTCCCTCTTCCCTGAGGCCAGGAACACTCCAGATAGAGACTGCTCCATCAGCCTGTGTCCTGGAATAAAGAGGCTAGAGGCACGCGGTCCCATCAGCCCACAGTCCACATACACCAGGAGCAAGATGTGTCAGCACTTGTAAGCCACCAGATGTGGGGACCACTTTCTACCACAGATAACCCAGCCCCGAGGCTACAGCTAGAACCTGCCCCCCCCCATTTAAGGCACTCAGGTTGACCCTAAGTTTGCATGTTAGCTATCTACTGCTGCGTCACAAATGACCCCACGATTTAGCAGCTTAAAGCAGCTCACACTTACTGTCTCACAGCTTCTGTGGGCAGAAGTCTAGGCACGGCTTAGCAGGGTCCTTGCCTCGGGTTTCCCACAGGCTCTGGTCAAGGTGTTGGCCAGAGCTGGGGTCTCATCCGAAGGCTCCGCCGGGGAAGGACCTGCTTCGAGCTCACCTGGCTCGCTGGTGTTGGCACAGTGGTGGAGCAGGCTGTCGGGCTGAAGGCTGCAGCTCCTGGTGGTGCTGGCTGGAGTGACCCTTGACTCTGTATCACATGGTTCTCTCACAAGGCAGATGCTCCATGCAAACACGCAATCCTACAAGGCTACAGAGAGTCGGGCAGTGACCCCAAAGTCACAGAGTCACCCTGCTGTGGAGCATCACTACGAAGGTGATATCTCATAACTTCAGTCTGCTCATTAAAGCAAGGTGTTAGGTGCAGCCCCTAGTTGTTCGGTCCTTCCCAAGGGAATGCAGACTTCACAAGGGCATGAGTACAGGAGGCAGGCCACCACACCAGCCCCTCCCCAGACTGTTAGCAAAGGAAATGGTCCTTGAATGGAAGTCAGTAGACCCCCGGTGCCCGTCAGGAGTCACTGACCACGGACATGAGGTTGGGTGGCATTCATATTTGATCCGTGCCCAGGATGACCTATAGACTTTAATCATATTTTCTTTACTTCTCCATCCTTCTTTTTAAAATATGTTTTTAGTTGTTGAGAGACACTTATTTTATTTATGTCTTTCTATGTGATGCTGAGAATCGAACCCAGTGCCTCACACATGCCAGGCGAGTGTGCTACTGCGGAGCCCCAGCCCAGCCCCTCCCCACCCTTCTTGACAAGAACCCACACTGTCTCCCCGGGACTTATCCTGCTACAACTTGGAGATTTGTTAGGCTGTCTTCAGGCTGGTGATCAGACTTGCCCCCAGGCTTGGATGACTCCATCATTTCTTCTGAGAACAGAAACGTAAGAAAAGCGAACAGGATCAGCTAGGTCAAAGTGGCAGAACTCTGACAGGTGCTAGACAGAAGCACACAGAGATCTCTGCACCCTCAATTATCTTCTTTCCCCAAACCTAAGCCAACCCCCCACCAGCCCCAGCCTTCTCCATGGCCCTCCACACCTTCAAATGCACTGTCTCCAAGTAAGGTGACCCTTCTATCAGTCAGCTATGGCCGTGTAACAAACAGCCATGAAACCTCGGGGGCACACAGCAAGAAGCACGTGCTTCCCACTCACCTGTCTGTAGCTCGGCAGGAGCAATTCTGTGCCCCAGACAGAGGTTCTGCAGGCCAGGGCTTCCCACAAGGCCAGGCCTTCCACAGGCCGGTGGAGCTCTGCTGTCTGTGCCTTTCATTTCCAGGGACCAGTGGCTATCAGCTGTCCATTCTGCTCATGGAAATGGCAGTGGTGCAAGGGGCAGCCCACCGCCTGAGTGCCTTCCACGTCTTTGTGTGTGTGTGTCATGGCCGAGTGGCAGAACTGAGTCACATGGCCAGGTTCAAGATCAAGGGGGAGGGGGATGGGCTCTGTCCACCATGCGGCTCTGACTAGGATGGGGACGCACTCAGCTCCTACAGGGGCTGAGGTTTGGGGGCGAGAACCCCATCCGACACACTTTTATCTCCCCCCCACTATGTGGAGGTTTCAAGCTTATTATTATCGAAACATCCGGAGCGGGGATCCAAGGTGGTGTTCGGAGGTCTCTGCCTCCAGTCTCACTGGAGAGACAGGAACATATTTAAAGAGAAAATAAGGGGAACAGGGAGGCTCCCAAGAGCACTCGGAAACAGGGAGGGGCAATGGGTCTGCTCCTTCCTTCACCTGGTCCTGGGGAGGCGTCCAGGTGTGTGGGCAGGTGCTTCCCTGTGAAGGACACACCCCACCAGCAGGAGGCCCAGGGGCACGGAGTCAGGAGCACTGGGTGGCTCTGAGTCACCGAGCAGAGCACCTTCCCCTCCCAGGGACCTTCAATAGCTCTGACAACAGGAGGAAGAGTCCTCTGTGAGGCTTTTACACCTCGTTGATGTCCCTTTTTCACAGATCGCACACCTCAGGCGACAGGATGCGGCTGGGTCTCACCAATGCCCTTTTATTGGGATAATGTCTCTATTTGTGAGTTTCTCTTCTATTTTTGATGGATAGCTCTGGTTTCCTTGGCAATACCGGATTTCCTTTTAAATAAATACATTAAAATAAACAGTTGACTTCCGGAGAAACACAGCGAACAGTAAGCAGCTCAGGTGGCGGGTTGTTAGGCAGTCGTTGAGGTGCCAGTCCACACTGGTTCACTCGCATAGGGCCTTTGGGCAGGTGGCTTTGCAGATGCCTCAGTTTCTTCTTGGATAAAATCAGGGTGACTTCTGCAGCAGGGCTCTTGTGCTACGTTGAAGGTAATATTTATAAAGTAACCAGCACACAGTAGGCACTCAGCACATGGCAGAAGCCCACCTACTCTCTCTCCACCTGGACTTTCCCTTTGGGTTGTCCAGGTGGCCACCATTCCATGTTCAAATTCACACCTTCCTGTACCTCTTCAGACCCAAAGAATCTCACTTGGGGAACGAGAGAGTCCATGCAATTAAAAGGGACCTGGCAAATGAGACCCCAGACTAACTGAGCAAGCTCAGGGCCTGCAAGGTGGGATGACCCTTTGGAGGGGGGTCTCAAATCCCCCCAGGATTTCTAGTTTCGACCCAGTGAGGCCCGCCCACCAAAGCTCCTCAAGGATTAAAAAGAGATGCTCATCAGAAAATTTAAACACAGTGTCCCGGCCAGACCACACTATTACGCAATAAATCGTATTTCTTTTCTTTTTTGTTTTAAAGATTTTTAAAAAATATTTATTTTTTACAAGTAGTTGGACACAATACCTTTATTTTTATTTATTTATTTTTATGTGGTGCTGAGGATCAAACCCAGGGCCTCACATGTGCTAGACGTGCGCTCTATCGCTGAGCCACAACCCCAGCCTCAATAATCGTATTTCTTAAAAAGGTGTTCTAATTCTCTTGTCAGCAGCATAAATCAGTTACCTTGTGTGCTTGAGTTTGTTCAAATAACATCAACCCACTACATTTTAAATGTGCTACAATACGTTCTGACCCAGCTTTGGAATTTCTTCAATTTTTAAAATACGCCTTTCAACACACACGATGGAGCTGGGACCCCTCTGGCCTCCTCCCTCTTCCTCCCAAGAGCCTCCCAGCCCACCAGCCCTCGACTTCCAGATGGGGAAACTGAGGCTGGAAACAGAGGCAGTTTTTTTGTTTTTTTGGTGTGATTTTCAGGGGTGGGTCCAAAACATGGGGCTGATTTTTTGTGACGTGTGTGTGTGTGTGTGTGTGTGTGTGTGTGCGTGTGCGTGTCGGTGCCCGGAGTGAAAGGAGAGTGGAGAAACCTTCAGACTCATTCCTGGACCTCCGCCTGAGACAGTAACGGTGCTTAACCTTCAGAGAGTCTAACTCCGAGCCGGGCAGGTGGTACCTGTGAACTTCCCATCATGAGCTCTTCCAGGCTCCACACGGCGCAAGGAAGGGAAACCGAGGCAGGTGAGATGAAGAACGAGTCCCCCGCCCCGGGGCGCGGTGGCGCACGCCTGTAATTCCAGGAGGATCGCAAGTTCGAGACCAGCCCGGGTACTTTAGCCAGGCTTCTTAAAATAAAAAGAAAAAAATTGAAAGGTCTGGGATGTCCCTCAGTGGTGGCGCCCCCCTGGATTCCGCCCCCAGAACCAAGGGAACAAGTTCACCAAGTTCCAAAAGCGCTGCACAAGGGATGCCAAAGAAGGCGCCGGATTCCGGGGGATTCCGGGACTCCCCACCGAAGCGAAGGGAAGAAAAGGGAAGACCCCGAGGACCGAGGGCAGGAGCGGGCGACCCGCGGGAGGGCGCCGCCCGGACGTCCAGCGCCCGGAGCTGTCCCTTCTCGCGGTCCCGGCCGCAGAGCCTCGACTCCGCCCCGAGCTCGGCCGAAGCGCGGCCGGGAGGCGGCGGGGCCGGGGGCGCTGCCCGGCCTGGCCCTCCCCTCCGGCGTCCCCCCGCCTCCCGAGGTCCCGCCCCCTGGCTCCCGGGCCCTGACATCACCGCGGGAGGCGGCCTGGAAGGAGGGGGCCGCGAGAGGAGGCTCGGCGCGGCGCAGAGGGAGGAGGGCGGCGCGCGGTCCAGCCCAGAGCTTCAAAACCGCCCGGCCGCCTCCCCTCGCGCCCAGCCCGCGCGTCCGTCCGTCCAGCCGCCAGCGCCGCCGCCAGCGTCCGGTGAGTGGGTGCCCCCGGGGCTGCGGGCAGCGTGCGCCCTGGGCCGCCGGCGCGATCGTCCTCTTTAGGGACCGAGAAAGGCCCGGGGACGGGTGGCGGGCAGCGAGGAGCCGGGAGCACCGGGGTGCCTGAGGTCCACTACTGCCCCGACCCACCCGGCTGCCCACCCCGGACCGCTGCCTTCGCCTTTGCGCCGAGGCGGGCGGGAAAAGTTCGGGGAGGAGTCAGGGCGGCGCCCCTCACCCCCGCCGGCCTCAGCCCGGAGCTTGCGGAGTCCGGGGCACTCTCCACGCCCCCTGTGCGACCCCGGCGCGAGACCCAGCCGCCAGGAGCCGGGCGGGGCACGGCGGCGCCGGGCGGAGTCGGCGTCCTCGCGGGCTGCGCGCCCCTGCGGCCCCGGCGCGCCCCCCTGCGGCAGGGATCGACCTCCTGGGGTCCGTGGCGGTGGCGGAGGCTGTGACACCTCTCTCCGCTGGTCCACCACCCCCAGGGTTGAAGGGCTGTAGGGGGAGTGCCCTGCCCGTGGATTCCAGCGGAGGGGAGGCTAGAACTCGGGTGTGGACCCTACGTCCCCCCAGATCCAGAGACTTAAACACCCCACGGAGAGCTCTGAGGTCGTCGTGTGGGGTGACACGGAACCCTGGGGCCCCGGGGAGCCCCTACAGAGCCAGGCTTTCCCGCCAGGATCCAGCTTTTGGGAGGAAGCTGACAGCCCCCGCAGCGCTGTCCCCTCCCAAGCCGTGGGTGCCCGGGTGAGGGGCTCGGAGACCTCAGAAGCCCCAGCCCGCCGTGTGGTTCCACGTCCCGGGCCCTGGAGCCCGCAGATTCCTACTTAAGAAAAGGGGATGACATCGGGGGGCTCGGGGCCGTGGGCCTGGGGAGGGCTCTGGTTTGTGGGGTTCAGGATATTAGTTGGGGAGGATGACAAAGTCTGGGGTGTAGACAGAGGTAATGGTCACACAACTTTGTAGGCGTGTTTCAAGCCGATTGGACACCAACACGGGGTAAGATATTTACTGCATGTTTTACCACCACGAGGGCGGGAGCACCTGAGGCCACACCTCGGCACTTCAGTCCAATAGAAATTCCAGGACCCAGGCAGCGTCGGTGGCCACCTGTCCCTGGGACTTTGCCTCCAGATGGGGAAGGGATGGAGGACGAGGAAGGGGCGGTTTGCCCAGGAGTCAGCCGGGCAGAGCGGAGGTGAGCGGTGGGCTGCGCCTGCCCCCTCCCCTGCCCCTCCCGGCTTCCTGGTGAGGCGCGCCCTCCCTGCCGCAGGTGGAAAGCCTGGCCAAGCAGTTACTCGGGGCCAGGAGCCCCCCCTGCCTCCCCTCAAGCCCCGCTCTTTCCGGCCTGGCGAGGCCTTGGTGTGCGTGGGAACGGGGTGGGGTGGGGAAAACAGGGCGCAGATATCCGCAGGCGCTGGGGATAGATGCCCAGCCCACAGCCCCGGCAGGGGCGTGGGGTGGCAGGGAGGCGCGGAACCTGTTTTCCCACCGCCCCCGCGGAGAAGAGGCTGGAGGTCGAGGCAGAGCAGGCCACAGCGCCTGGAGCCTCTTCTGCCCCTCAAGAGGAGAACTGGGTGAGCCTGCCGTCCAGGGACGGGTGTTTGTGTTGGAAGCCCTGTGGGTGGCCAGCGGGGCCGGGAGGGAGGGCCAGGAAGCAGGAGCGAAGGGGTTGAGTTCGGGCTGCGGCCCCACCCACAGGGGAGGGCCCCCCTCAGGCTGGCGCTGCCCCAGATTGGGCCTCTTAATTGTAAATACAAGGTGCATCCATTTAGCATCCCCCCACACACACACCAGAAATCACACCTGGGTTTCTTTTTCCGGCTTCTGCCCCAGTGTCTTAGCGTGGGACCTCGGCCGGGGCCTGTGACAGCACAGGTAGTTCACCTGGAGGACCAGCGTTTTTCCGCCAGGCCTAGACCCGTCCTCCCCACCCTGTCCTCTGCTCTGTCCTCCCTGGCCGGTGGGGCCCACGGAAGTCCCATTCTTTGTCAGGACCACACTCCAGTAGACATGGCCAGAAAGGGAAATCTGTCAGACAAACACATATGAATACTTTGCCGGCCAGAGGCTGGCCTCAGACTGCCCACTGGGTGTGGAGGTGTGTTTGGGAGGCGGGAATCCAGCACCCTGCGGGGGGGGGGGGGCAGCTCAGTGTGTGTGTGGGGGGGGCAACACCCGGCTCATGCCCAGCTCTTGGCCAAGTGGGACCTGGGACACAGGCTTTAGCACTGGGGAGGGGAGCCACAGGGAGCTCCTGAGGGTGGAGGTGGTGGGAGTCATCACCCAAAGGTGGGCCGGGGTCCCAGGTACTGGCCATGAGGAGAGTTAAAGGTCAGGGATGGGCTGCCTGTGCAGGAGGCTGTGTGCGTGTGTGTGTGTGTGTGTGTGTGTGTGAGAGAGAGAGAGAGACAGTGACAGAGTTTGGGAGAGTAGGTGACTGACGGCGGCTGGATTGGGGGAAAGGGCAGTTGGCATCCTAGAAAGAACTGGCACTGGTGGCTTCCGCTTGTCTCCGGAAGGCATGGGGCTAGGTGTGGGGTAGCGCGATGGGGAGGCTCCCTCCTTGTCCCTCCGGCGGCTCTGGCTCTGTGCAGAAGTTGCCCACAGAGTGCAGTTTTGGCAGGGCTCTGGCGGGAATCGGAATCGGATGCATCTGGCTCTTGTTAGGCCAGGCCAGGGGCTTGTCTAAAAATATCAGAGGCAGCGCTGCCACCCAGCGAGAGTGTGCAGCCCGGCTGTAACCCGATGCCCAGGGCGGGGGCTGGCGGTGACGACACCAGCCTGTGGTGTTCCAGAGTCCCTCAGACTCCTCCTGGCAGCCCAGCCCGCGACGGGGGCAGCGCAGGAAGGGCGAGAGGAAGCATTCAGGGCAGCCATGGGCTAAGACTGGGGAACTGGGGGACATAAGGACCTTAGAAAGTCCCGAGTCTGGTGGCTAGGGACACTCAGAGAAGTGGAATGAGCTGTGCGGCATCCACAGGGAGTTGGCAGCAGACCCAGGGCCAGATCTGGGTATAGGGCTCATCCAGCTGAGGAGCCCAGTGGCTGGGGAGGGTCAGGGGGATCCCAGCCCTAGGTCCCCAGGGTGAGTGACCTATCTATCTAGGCTGCTGGATCTCCGTGCTGACACCCTAGGAGAATGGTGGGCAAAGAGCTATGATGGGTGCGGCACCTCCCATTGGGCATCTGTGACTCTGGGGGCACGACCGCCAGGCCATCCTGGGGCGGGATGTAGGGAGGAGACGGGAAGAAGGAGCCCTCCTTCTTCCCATGCAGAGAGGCTGTGGTTCAGGTCAAGTGTCTCCGTCCTTGACGAGTCGTTGTTGGGCTGAGAAACTGAATTCCTGGCCCTTACCTTTCTTGGGAAGCCGGGCTTCAGTTGACCTATGGGGGACCAAGGGGAAGAGGGGCTGCTCCAGTTCCTGCCCTCCATGGACAGGCTGGACAACATCAGCTTCTAGAAGCTTCCTAGGACTCTGGGTCCAGAACGGAGGGAGGCATCACCAAGTGATGTTGGTATAATATTTGCCCTCAGAAACCTGGGACATAAAGTAGCTCTCACCATGCAGGACATAGAGACGGGCCAAGAGTCCCTCCCTACGCGGGGCTCCTGGTCTGAACTCAAGGACGTTTCCTATAGCAGAGTCCCTCGCTTGAGATATTTTTTTTCTAATGTGCTAATCACAAACTTCTCCAGTGAACTGTCTTTCCTTAGAAGGAAATAAATTTAAATATTTTTTTCAGTTAGTAAATATGATCCCAAGGATCTCATTAATCTTATTTTTAAAATTTTTTTGGAGGTAATAGGGATTGAACTCAGGGGCACTCAACCACTGAACCACATCCCCAGCCCTTTTTTGTATTTTATTTAGAGACAGGGTCTCACTGAGTTGCTCAGCGCCTCATCATTGCTGAGGCTGGCTTTGAACTTGCGATCCTCCTGCCTCAGCCTCCCAAGCTGCTGGGATTATAGGCGTGTGCCATCTCACCCGGCGGCTTCATTAATCTTATTTTAATGAGTGTTTCCCAAGGGGTGTCATTATTGGTGGCACCCAAGATGATTTTAAAAGGTCTGCAGTGGAACATTAGAAAAGAATGTATTAATTAACGTATTTTTTTTTCTTTTTTTTTTAAAGAGAGAGAGAGAGAGAGAATTTTTTTAATATTTATTTTTTAGTTTTCGGCGGACACAACATCTTTGTTTGTATGTGGTGCTGAGGATCAAACCCGGGCCGCTTGAGCCACATCCCCAGCCGTAACATATTTTTCTTGATAGACATTTGAAAAATACATGTAAACTGCACACAAACCCTTGGTTTCGCAAATACTCCTGCTTAAGTTCCAATGAATGTTGATGTTTTAAACTTGACACTTTTTAAGTATTTAAAGAATTTCCTTAAGAGGCACAAGGGAGACGGTTTCTAACGAGGACTGGAATGTACACATTTCATACCTTCCATGATGGGTCTAATCTGGAAAGATCTTTAGCTCCCCACCCAAGCTCCCCTCTCCCCAGAGGCCCCTGGGGTCAACTCTATGGCTTGGCTTAGCTTCTGAGAGTCTCTTTGATGCAGGTCATCCTCTGCCCCCTGGCCCTCGCTGGCTGCCCTGAGGGTCAGAGGAGATGACATATCCGTGTCAGCAGGTAGAAGTGGCTTGAGGACCT